ACTCTAGATGGTGTGTTCAATTTCAATTAGAATTCTTGGAGTCTACTCAACCCTAAACCTTAGTTTATGCCTACATAAAGGGTACTAAATTTCCTGAAAAGACATCTCAAAATATCCCATAAACTCTTGGGTATTTTTAAAGATCAAGATCTCGAATATTCCATTAGTTGATGAAATGTTCATATAGAGGTCAAATCTAAATCATCATAGTTCAAGAAATACGCCACTAAACTCTTGGGTATTTTTAAAGATCAAGATCTTGAATATTCCATAAGTTGATGGAATGTTCATATAGAGGTCAAATCTAAATCATCATAGTTCGAGAAATACGCCACTAACGACCCTCGAATCATGGATAAATCTTGGGAGAGTAGAATCAAGGGAGAAACAGAATTGTACCCGCATATTTATTAATATATTCATGTTTCTTCAAATTTTATTTGTGTGGTTTATTTATTTTCCATATGTTTAAAATTTGTTGCAAACAGCAGTTCAAATCCATTTTTTGTTTTAAAACAAATGGTTCTTGCAGATAAATATTACTCATAGTTTTTCTTTATATTTTAGTTGAACTATTAAAAACATTATTTGTCGATATAACTAGAATGCACGATTCTTATTAAGATAAACATTCTTTCACAACTTTTTAACCTAGTTTAAATTTTGGGACTAAATTTATCCAATGTTTAGTTGGAGCTTTGGAGGCATTAACTAAAATTGATATCAGGATCGATATAAAAAGCCGCTCATTGAAATAATAACCGGCAAATATTAATTTTAGGGAAAATTTTCAAAACAACAATATTTTAATTTTTAATGGGACTTCTTAGCAACAATTTCACTATTTATTTAAAATGTCAATATTTTAGTTTGTTAAGGGCTGAGTTATATATTTATTTATTTTGATTAATTTGAAAGAATACAAATAATTAATAACAAAATAGAGAAAATCATGGAACAGAAATTTTCAAAAAATATAAAAAATAATAATTAAAATTTAACGTCAGTTATGTTTTTGAGAGAGCATATGTTGCCATTTTTCTTTCTAGCATTTTTTCCCTTTGTTCTTAAGAATTTCAAATTTTTTTTTTTAAACAATAGTTTGTATTTTATATCTTATATGAGTGGAAGTGTTGGAAAATTTCTAATGCTCTTTGTTTTGAATATTTAAATGTTTGAACTTCTTTGAATATGTGTTCATCCGAAATGTATTCGAATACATAATGATATGTATAACTAATTTAAAATATAAAAATTGTTGGTATTGATTTATGATGAATACAACTCTTTGACATTCTAGTTCAAGTACAGAAATAAAGGCAGTTGTGAAGTATATACCAAAATATAAATACAAATTAGTTGTAAATCGAAATGATATTGAAAAATATGCGATGAATACATAATACATAGAATAAGTTGTATTCAAAATAAATTGTATTTATATTTCAAAATCCAGTTTTGATATATTATTATTTCATTTTAAATTTGCAGAAAGTATTTTCTGGCTCAGTTTTTATTTCAAATATTAGGTTGTATTTCAATATCATTTTGTATATCAAACGCAGAATGAATACCAATAATTTTGTATTCCCCTTCATGTGATGTATTCGTCGCACAATTTTATATATTATGTATTCATAAAAATTATATTGCTTTAGCCAAATAAAATACAAAATATGTCTTACTAAGTTAGTATATCAAAAATCAGGTTGTATTTCAGTATGATTTTGTATTTCAAACGAAAAAATGAATACCAATAAGTTTCTATTTCCCTTCTTATAATGTATTCGTCACAATTCTATAAATTATGTATTCAATCATAATGTATAGAATTGTGACAAATACATTATATACCTATTTGAATGACTACAAACTAAAAAAGAAATACAATGTTTTAAAATAAAAATACAAATGATGAGTAAAAGAAAAACAATTGACTAACAGAAATTAATATGAATACAATTTTGCAGACTCCTCCTCCTCCTTCTTATTCTTCTTCTCATCCTCCTCCTCCTCCTCCTCCTCCTTCTTATTCTTCTTCTACTTCTTCTTCTTATGCTATGTTCTTTTTCTCGATTTTTTTCATCAAAAACGAATCTGAATCTGTATTCACTTGTGCATTAGGTGATTTGATGATCATTTATATTGATGTTTGTAGGCTTTTGTTTCAAAATTGATAACGTTTGAGCATATATTGAGTTGGTTTAATCAAAATTAAAATTATAAATTTGAAAAATATTTTGTTGAACAACAAATAATAATCATGTCAACCTAACTCTTTATAGTGTTATTTTGAAAACATTACATGAACATAGCGAGATTATACAATTTTACAATATATACAAATTACAATACTTCTACACGTATTTATGTATTTAAAAACTCTAGCCCACACATACATACACATAATTGATCACACATACATACATTCATACACGTCTAGTTATGACCACATAATAAATATGTGCGATTTTTGGTTAGAATGAAATATTTTATGGTACCAAAACATGTATTTTGCTACCCTTTGAAATCAAAGCATCGTTATGTTTTGAAAATACTCTATGCCTTTAAATTTATGTGACTGATTTTTATTTGACACATAACTTTAGGAATAAAGAACACTCTTGAATCTTGTGCTTTTAATCTATAGATATGTAAAATATACTAAAATGTTCTATAATATTGTGATATTTTGTATAAGCGTGTAGCTGTCCCTTTCCATTTATACAAATGATTCCTTCTCTTTCTTCATAATTATTTACCTTATTTTCTCCTTAAATCCCTCAACACAAATTGATTTCAAAATTTGAAAATTTCAGTTCTTCCCTCTCAAATCGGCCTTCCTAATTTTTAGGGCAATTGTTATGCAGTTAAGTTTCTTCCTTTTTTGTGGTTTCATTCTTATCCTTTTGATTTGAATTTGTATATGACTGCAATTTCATATGATTTTTCATAATTATAATTAGATACAATCAAAATTATGGATGAAGAAACATCCAAAATAGCTTTGGAATATATTATGACAAATATATAAGTACAAATCAGCTGTGAATTATACATATACATATATTTAAGTACAAATCAATTGTCACTACTCCTTTTATACAATTATAGACGAAAATAGCTCATTGATACAAAAAATAATTTCACATAATAAACAATTATCAATCAATTATACATATACAAACACTAATTCCACCAATAAAATAGAATATGTGAATTCTAAATATACAAAATATACAAATATAAATCAGTTGTCAGTGTCACTACTCATTTTATACAATTACAAATGTAAATAGCTAATTTATACGGACTCTAATTCCACATAAACTACAGTCACCAATCAATTATACATATACAAACACTAATTCCACCAAAAATAAAACAAACCTATACATATACAAAATATACAAATACAACAACATTTGAAGAATCTGTTTATACAATTATGTACGAAAATAACTAATTTATACAAACATTGATTCCACATAAACTACAATCATCAATGAATTGAACCAATCAATAATAATTTATACAATAACAAATAGAAATCAATTTATACATTTACGGAAAGAAGGAAAGTCATGTTTGGTATTGTTCCATGAATTAAGGGATTGTTTACCTTATTCTAATTGAAATTATCATCATTATCTTTTAAAAAGTTTGAATTTTCGTTTTGTATAAATACCAAATAATAGCGAATTATACAAATACGCTTGCCTATAACAAAATTATAGCTACAACATGTAAATATGTAAACTATAGCTAAGAAGCCTAATTAAGTTTATTCTTGTGGCAATACGTGAAATTTACTCTTTTTATTTTGGGAAAATTGTACATAATGGCAAACTATTAGTTCAAATTAAATGGTATAATCACACTTTGATTTAATTGTGTCCTGTAGCAAACTGTTTGCCCGCGCCTCTCTCTCTCAAACTCTCGCTCGCCACTCTCCTCTCTCGCTCACTCCCTCTGTGCTCGCCTCTCTCGCTTTATACAACAGAAGTGTATAAATTGCATTTTTGTTTGTATAAAACGAGAGAAAATTGAATATACACATGCAAATACATATATATTCGTCCTATACACTTATAATTATACAATAAAAATATTCCCCTGCCCAGTTCTCTTTTGCATTTCTCTTTTTCTCGTTTTATACAACAGAATTGTATAAATTGTGTTTCTGTTTGTATAAAGCGCGAGAAAATTGTATATACACATGCAAATACATATATATTCGTCCTATACACTTATAATTATACAATAAAAATATTCCCCTGCCCAGTTCTCTTTTGCATTTCTCTTTTTCTCGTTTTATACAACAGAATTGTATAAATTGTGTTTCTGTTTGTATAAAGCGCGAGAAAATTGTATATACACATGCAAATACATATATATTCGTCCTATACACTTATAATTATACAATAAAAATATTCCCCTGCCCAGTTCTCTTTTGCATTTCTCTTTTTCTCGTTTTATACAACAGAATTGTATAAATTGTGTTTCTGTTTGTATAAAGCGCGAGAAAATTGTATATACACATGCAAATACATATATATTCGTCCTATACACTTATAATTATACAATAAAAATATTTCCCTGCCCAGTTTTATGTTTGTATAATGTATAATTTATGTTTGTATAAAGCGAAAGAGAGCGATTTTTTATATACAAATATTTTTGTCAACGATTTATACAAACGAGAGGCTAACAACAATTTATACAAATGGCCTGCCAGCGAAATTATACAATTCTGAAGAGGAGCCAACAAATTATACAATTGCTTCCTTTTGTATATATGTATAGCGAAATAGACAGCTTTCAATTGTATATGTATAGCGAATTATACATATATATGTTTGATATGGAGTGCAATTATGCAAACTTTGTTATAACATACAAATATGATTTTTTTGTTTGCTATATGTGAAAGTTGCTCTTTTATTTTTCAAAAAAGCGTTATTTGAGCCCAAAGCAATACCCATAAGCCCAAGCCCAAATTCTTAGCCCTTACCCGTTTGCCACTTACCACCCGGTTTCTCTATCTCTGTCTCTCTCGATCCCGGCGAAATCAAAGTGTAGAATATCAGGCAACCGGCAGCTCATTTCCACTGGTAATTATTTGTTCTTCCTTCTCCTGTTCCTTTTCTTATCAATAATCTCGCAGAAACTCAAAAATATGCATTATCGTATCAATTTTTTCTGGTATAATAGCTTATTTCTGATTTTTTTTTTGTAGTAGTTTCTACTGTAATACAGCACCGCCTTATTCCTTCCATGAAAATTTATCTTATCTATTAAAATTATTGTTATATTTTCATTTTAGAGTGAAACAGATGAAGTGCTCACTATATTCCTAATGTTCCTTTTGCAAAATGATCTTATTTTATGATCTAAATGAAAAGTGTAAGCACTGGCATGATTCATGAAGAAATAGAGAAAAGAGAAGAGTGAGGAATACAAACAGAAATAGCTTGAGATGTTTAGCTTTTACGGTCGGAAACTTCTTTTTTTCAAATGATCATATGGGATATCAGATCCTATTTGTGGGATTTCACTGGGTATGTTGTTGTTATCATGTTGTGAACCAAGTGATCATCCAATTGGTGGATTATTTAGTTTGATTTACTACCTCAGTTCAGCAGGCAGAGTATTAGTGATGGAATTTCGTAGATGCCTTTAACTAGAACCCGAGTGCCTAAATGTCAGAAGTAAGGAGATGGAAAATTGGATTCCTAAACCCCTTGATTTTCCAATACATATGTTTGAGCAAAGGAGAAAATCCCATAAAGTTCCGTCTTTGTTGTGTTGCTCTCGTAAAGTTACTTTTTTTTTGTTCCGTCGTTCCTATTTCCTGCCTCTTAGCTTCTCCCTCCTTTTTTTTGGTAGTGCTGTCTTTTCTTCTTGAAACAATTTTTTTAATGTCCTCTAGTTCATCATATCTTACATGAAATATTATACCATTTCACCCAGCAAAGGGGAAAAGATGAGAATCTGCTTCTTCAATTGATTAAATTTCCAATATGTTAACCCTTCAGGGGTGGCCCAGTGGTTTGAGCTTGGGATTTCCATGTTGGAGGTCTCAAGTTTGATACCCCTTGCCAATGAAAGCAAGGGATTTGCCTTCTGGGTCGAGCTCGTCGCACCAGGCTTGCCTAGTGCGGGTTACCTCTCCTATGTGGTTTGCGAGCTATTGCATAGGAGCAGGGGTTTTACCCTGTGCACACCCAAAGGGTAGCGGCTGCGGGTTTCCCTTGTTATTAAAAATAAAAAAATTCCAATATGTTCATTTTGATTAATAGGTCTCGTACATGAAATCATTTCCAATAGTATTCACTATTTGATATCTGGTAATGGCATTGATTTTGCTGATCTGTTGGTCCCTTGAAGAACAATTTGACAGTGTCATTCTCTCACACATGAGTGTTTGGATTTCATTTAATTATGTTTGTTGCTCTCGTCTGTTTCTTTCTTTTTGAGCATTCTGTACTTTTATGAAGCCATTTTCTGCAAAATAGTGTGACCATATGGTAAATGGTAATTAGTTTTTTCAGTTTGCTTTTTTACAGTAGAAAGTGAGGAAAGAAAACCAATTTAAACAGTAAGAAAATATTGAAACCATGTATACCAGGATTTCCAAGACTTAGAAATATGAAAATGATATGTTTCGTTGTACACCAGTTACATTGAACAATGTGAAAGCATTTGGAGCTGTTGAAAATTTCACATTCTAGTATGTGTTTTCCTTGCTAAACTGGACTTTACTGCTGCAGTTCATGGTGAGAAATTCACATTCTAATACGTGCTGTCTTTGCTCCAGTTTTAGCTGATGGGATTTGGGAATAGAGGAATCGTTGCTGACAAATGGTCAGGAAGGCTTTTATGGGTCTGTGCAATTGGAAGTGCTGTTGGTATACCATCAATCTCCTTTGATTTTTTCTTGAGATTTTTCTCTCTAGACAAGCAATGGTTATTTTTAGCCTGTACTGGACTGGCAGAAAGTCAACAACTAACAAATTAGCTAGTATGCCAAGACTTAATTAATAATGTAATACATATGAAATCTCCTCAACGAAGCTCTTTATTAACCTAGAAGTACCTAGTGACTGCCAACTGCTTACCGTATTCATCCAAAAATATTGCATGTAGTGGTGTTCATCAACTTATGGTATTGGTTAAAATTCTAAAGGTGTTTGCTCTATAGGAAAAGAGCTTATAGAAAAAAAATCACATGAGCTTCAGAAAAGTTATTGGCTAGAAGAAACTCTACATCTCCACCAGTTCAAACATAGAGATCTTCCGAGTCAAGTGAAAACTTGTTCCTTGATGCAGTATGTTATAATTTTGTTTTAATTTTTTCTTACATTTGGAATAACTAATTCTCAACCATCTTTGTGCAAACTAGAATTTATTAACTGAGAAGTATGATAAACGCTGAACCAAAAACCCCACTAGGCGAATGGATCAACTCATCACCTTTTATAGTGATCATCAAAGTTTGATCATAATTCATTATCATTACTCATATACTGTAGATTTTGATTCACATGCCAATTTTTAGGTTCTTTTAGTTCCAGAACGCTTTGAGGGGTGCCATGGGACATTATGGGGTATGGATTGTTGAGATGATCTACTTCCATTCTCAGTATGCGCAATGACTCTCTTGACAAATGAAAATTTATGAATAGTTTAATGATACATCAAGATTTTGGATATATCTATGTGTTTACTGTGACCAATCTCTGCTGAGTGCTTAAATTATTTTTAGCTCTTCTGTTTGAATACTTGATGTTGTTCTTTATCTGTATCTTGCTTGTTAGGCTTCTATATGGTTGCTGTGGAAAGACAAACTCAGAATAGAGCAAAAATGATGGCTGAAGCACTGGCGGATGCAGGATCAAGTATAGATGCCAGTGAGAAAAGCTGAATATCATGGGACTTATGGTAATGCTATACATTTTCATTAGGCATCTTTTCTTATCGTTTGGTAGTCTGAGTCATGCTCTGGAAACTATTCTGTTGTAATAATTACTCGCGATCCTCATAAACGGAAAGACATTGCTGAACAAATATTCGAGTTGGGAAATATGTATAATTGAAGTTAAGGACTTAGATTTAGAAGAAATTTAATTTGATTAATACTGAAGAAGGCTAGCTAGCTTTTGCTTCGATGAAATTGATATTAGAGTTCACGAGTTTATATCGTGTGTACAGTGGAAGAAGTGTTACAATGGACAAGTAAATAAATGGAGTTGGTAGCCTTTATGTATACCAGGGATTTCCAAAACTTGGCAAAAAATATTGAGAACTATGACTAATTTGGGGCAAATATGTTTGCAACTATTTCTTTCCTCCTTGCATATTTCTTTGAATTCACATGTCAAACATCTTCAAGTATAAATGTTATATGCAAACCTGCAGAAGTATCAACACCAACTTCACTTCGTATTGTTTTGCGACTTCACTATGGTGGTTATTGTTTATCCAAACCCAAATGTCCTCTAGCAGGCATTGAAGATGATGTTGATATTAGAAGACTTGGGGAAGTTGCGGAAGAAATAGAGGCACAGGGTCGAAGGAGAGGAGTACCAATACGACTTGAAGTGTTAATGAATGATGATCCTCTGTGACAGTTGTTGGTGGCTGTAACTGAATTTCTGTACCTGCACCATGCACTGTTCGAGGGCTATCAACCAACTGGTCATGATCATATTCCTCGAGTGACATTACGGTGCTTGTATCAGTGTGCACAGTTGAATCATCTGGGAACGAACGTACGCATCCTCCTTTTTCTTCTTGCTGCCTTTCCCCATCCATGGATCGTTTCTCTTATTCTCTGTGGAATCAATGCAGCCTTATAGTTTGTACCCATCTGCAAAGAGGCAATATAATATGTTCAAAGCTTTGTTGTCGGAAAATATTACTAATATCTACAATCTCATTCAATAGTCCGATTCACGAGTTTACTGTGGAAGTGCAACATGTTGAAGTAGTCTATGATCTCTGGACATACCGTTGACGGTTTAAAGTAGACGACATTTAAGAATGGAATAGCCTGTACATGATTTTTAACAATATACCTAAAGAGAAGGGAAAAAATAAAGCCCCTTCCATTTCCCCTACGCCATCGTCCTCATTTACCTCACCCAACCCACTCCAGTCTCCCATCTATTGGTGTTTGTTTGTCATGAACAAGAAGGGGAAAGAGAACTAGAAAATTTGAGACATGTCATCCATAACCTTAAGTTGGTTATGAGAATAATGGTGTACAAAGTCGAACATTAACGAGAGGATCATACTCTTCTGACTTCTCAATTTAGCTATATCCGTCGTGACATACATAATACCTGTGTAACCAGGGCATAGAGTGGCAAGGTGCTATAACTGCAAAGGAATTGTCCAGCAAATTAAACCTGGGTGACAAACAACAGCATACGTTTAGATTGTTGTGCTAAATAAATATACGTTGGTAAATCTATAGTACATACAGATACAGTTGGTAATTACACATACCCCATAATGAGTCGTAGATACACAAGTGTGTGGTTCTTTATGAAGCATGAAATTGCCACTGGAATAAAGACGTAACTTTGTCAAAACTCAGATATTCACAACATACAAATGGAAACAAACTGTTCAAACTCGAGTAGAGAGAATCAAATTTGGGGAATTTCTGATTGTATTTCATAAAGTGTATTACAAAAGATGGAGTATGCCACTATATATACATGTGGAATCTACTGCCTGACACCTAACTAACTTGTGTAACTAACTACTTGCATTGCTAACTAACTGATCAACAAATTAACTAACTAATTGAATATACATAATTATGCCTCTAAATCTGCATTACACTATTATCTCCAATACCCTCCCTCAAGCTGGATGTACTGAAAATGTTCAGGACTCCAAGCTTGGCCAAGAGAAAAGCATGTTGTGATCGACCAAGTGCTTTAGTAAGCAAATCTGCCTGCTGGTCTTTAGTGTTGATATATATGGTCTTAATGAGTCCTTGCTGAATCCTTTCGCGAATAAAATGACAATCGATTTCGATATGCTTGGTTCTCTCATGGAAAACAGGATTTGCAGCAATTTGTATTGCAGCCTTGCTATCACAATATATTGATGTAGGAGTATGCAGGGCCACCTCAAGGTCCTTAAACAGACTTGCCACCCATACGACCTCTGCTGTGAGTGTAGCCAAACTCCTATACTCTGCCTCTGCAGAGCTCCTAGATACAGTATTCTGTTTCTTGGATTTCCAAGATATCAATGAATCACCAAATTTCAACAAATATCCACTAACTGATTTCCTGGTGCTGAGACAAGCTGCCCAGTCTGCATCACAGTATCCAGTTAATCTGAATTCCTTATGAGAACTCATGAGCAAGCCCAGCCCTGGATTACCTTTAATGTACCTGATCACTCTCATAGCTGCATTCCAATGTGAGAGTTTAGGTTGTTGCATGTATTGACTTAAAGTCTGAACAGTGAAGGCAATGTCAGGTCTTGTATTAGTCAAGTAGAGTAATTTTCCAACTAATCTTTGATAGCGGCTAACATCTGGCAGTAAGGGATCAGCACTGCTACTGCCATACTCAGTTGGAGTCAGCTTAAGATTACATTCTAATGGTGTTGACACTGGTTGTGCACCTGCAAGCCCAGCCTCAAAAATCAACTCTAATGCATATTTCCTCTGGCTCATTACAATACCAGATGATGACCTACAAAACTCTATGCCCAGAAAATATCTCAATTCACCCAAGTCCTTTATTTTGAAGTGATTGTGTAGCACTTGTTTTGTATCCTGAACCAGTACAGGATCACTTCCTGTGATTAACAAATCATCTACATAGACTAAAACAATAACCTGTCCAACAGTACTCTTTTTGGTGAACAAAGAATAGTCTAAATGACTTTGAGTGTATTCTGATTGGCAAAGTGCTTCAGTAAGCTTAGCATTCCACTGCCTAGATGCTTGTTTAAGCCCATACAATGACTTTACAAGCTTACATACAAGATGTTTATCTGTACCAACAAACCCCTTAGGTAGTTCCATGTATACTTCTTCAAAAAGATCACCATGTAAAAAAGCATTGAACACATCCATTTGGAAGATCTTCCAGTTTTCAACTGCAGCTAAGGCAATAATTGATCTCACAGTGACCATTTTAACTACAGGAGCAAAAGTTTCTTGATAGTCAATGCCTTCTGTCTGGCTATATCCTTTAGCCACAAGCCTTGCCTTGAATCTATCAATAGTACCATCTTCCTTGCACTTGATTTTGAACACCCATTTACATCCTATTGCTGACTTCATAGCAGGCAACTTGACTATCTCCCAAGTACCATTTTCTTCCAATGCCTTAATCTCTTGTTGCATAGCCAGTACCCATCTAGGATCCTTAACAGCTTCCTCATAGCATCTAGGTTCCACTTCTGCAGAAAACTTCCCAAGGAATGCTTGATATTTTGGAGATAAGTGCTGGTAAGATATGTAATTGGCTATGGAATAAGGATGATCAGAATCAATTGCATTAGTCACAAAATCTTTTAGCCAAACAGGAGGCTTTGAGGATCTGGTAGAATGCCTTGTTCTTTGCTCAACAACCATTTCAGTAGAAATAACTGGATTTGGAATAATTGCATCAATAACATCATATCTATTTGCTACATCACCACCACCTTGTGCCTCATCCTCCTCTAAATCTGCATTACACTCCAAGTGAGGGACTGGTTCTGCCAGTTGCCTTTCTTCATAAAAAATCACATCCTTGTCAGGAAAAATAGGTAGATGAAGCTTCTCCTTTTGTGCAGCAAAAGGAAATATACCTTCTTTGAAAATAACATCTCTGCTGACTAATAATCGTTTTTCAGACAAACTATAAACAATGTAGCCTTTCTGAGTAGCTGAATAGCCCAACAACACACATGCCTCAGCTCTGGGTGAAAATTTGTCATCTCTAATTGCCTTGGTGACATAACATAAACAACCAATGGTTCTAATATGAGTTAAACTAGGTTGATGACCATGAAAAATAGCATATGGGGATTGATCATTCAATGTTGCAGTTGGCATTCTATTTATCAAATAGACAGCAGATAAGACACACTCTCCCCAAAATCTAATTGGTATAGATCCTGTAAATCTAAGAGCCCTGGCCACCTCTAATATGTGTCGATGTTTTCTCTCAACCACCCCATTCTGTTGAGGGGTATGAGGGCAACTGCTTTCATGAATTATCCCCAAAGATTCAAACAATGTTCTACAATCCCTGTTGAAGAATTCAGTCCCATTGTCTGATCTAATCTTCTTGACAGACTTACTGAACTGGTTATGAACTAAAGTAAGAAAACACTTGAGTGTAACAAAAACATCACTTTTCAATTTCATCAAAAATACCCAAGACATTCTTGAGTGATCATCAACAACAGTTAGGAAATACCTAAAACCAGCATGAGTAGGAGTTCTATATGGCCCCCAAACATCTATATGAAGTAAATCAAAAACAACATGTGATCTAGACAAGCTTGAAGGAAAAGGCAGTCTAGTTTGTCTAGCTAATGGACAAATCGGACATTTTTTACAAGCTTCTTCATCTGTGAATCTTTTAAGTAAAGAAAAATGCTTCAACACTCTCACTGGAGGATGACCAAGTCTGTTATGCCAGACAATACCCTCTGAATTCTCTGTTTGTGCCATTAAACCTTGCTCCACATTATCTGAAAGATGGCTGGAAAAGTAATAAAGGCCTCCCCGCTCTTTACCAGTCCCCTTCACCTTCCCATTGAAGAGGTCCTGAAACACACAGTGCTTAGGAAAAAAGGTTACAGAACAGTTTAGTTGCCTGGTCAATTGAGATACCGAAAGTAGGTCAAACTTAAACTCAGGGACAACCAATACATTATTCAAAACATCACCAGTTGGTAGCCTGCAATTACCAGTATGAGCAACTAAGGTAGATTGGCCATTTGGGAGGTGTACTTTCTTATCTGCACATACACTAGAGTTTGATATCTCATCTAAAATTCTAACATTATGAGTCATGTGGCAAGTTGCACCGGAATCCACTATCCATTCAATACTAGCATCTGGCAAGTTACTACTATTTGTTGCTGAAAAAACAGTAGTAGGAATACCTGCAATATGAGCATTTGCAGTACTTGCCATAACAGTGTTTGCCATATGCTGCTCCGTATCAATGTTGTCAAAATTTCCTCCAGAAGTACTGATTGATGGATTGTTAACTGAACCTTGTCTTGGATATGCTGAACTATGATTCATGAATCCAAATTCATCTCTAGTATCCCTGTCAGTGTAAACGTGATTAGCTATATCTCTCCCAGCATTCCCTGTGCCTGTTGATCCCCCTGGTCCAACCTTTTTTTTGAATTTCCAATCAGCTGGATATCCAATGAGCTTAAAACATATGTCCTTAGTGTGTCCATGTAACTTGCAATAGTCACAAAAGAGATGCCAATTTTTCTTCTGCCTGGGATTATAATATCCACCATTACTTCCAGATCCATTATTTGTATATCCACCTCTCCCAGTGTTCATAGCCATTGACTCATTCGAATAATGAGTACCTCTTCCTCTATCATAATGAGTACCTCTTCCTCTATCAGCATACAATGCCATGGATTCATTTGAATGATGAGTACCTCGTCCTCTGCCAACATACAAAGCCATTGATTCATTTAGATCACCACCAGTCCTAGATCCAGCTGTTACTCGTTGACTTTCATCAGCTACTATCATAGCATAAGCCTTGCTCACACTAGGCATGGGATTCATCATCAAAATCTGACTACGAGCATGACTGTACACCTCATTTAGTCCCATTAAAAACACAAACAATCGTAGATACTGTAAATGATCAACATATGTTCTAGATTTATCGCAGTTACAGGCAGGTGGAGGGACCAGTGCATCGAATTCATCCCATAAGAGGCGTAATTTGGTGAAATACCCAGAAACTGTCAAATTACCTTGATT